CGCTGCAATACGGTGACCTTTCATTTTGCTGCACTTCTTGCAGTGTCGCGCTACCGTCGACAATTTCCACTCGCAGTACCATTCTGCGGTGACCTTTGGTCCCGTTGCGCGTTTCCACTCGCAGTACCATTCTGCGGTGACCTTTTATCCACTTGGACGTTTCCACCGCCTTTTTGCGATGACGGCATCCATATAGCCGTTTCTCTTTGCTGTGACGGCATCCATCTAGCCGTTTCTTGTGGTTGCGGCATCCATATAGCCGGTCCACTTTGCTTTTTCGCTGACGGCATCCATATAGCCGTCGCAGTGGTCACATTCACTGCAGTACCATTCTGCAGTGGTGACCTTTCCCTTTTATCCGGTGGTTTAGGGTCGGGTCGATCAGTAGGCTCACCGGTGCCTACTGATCTTGCCCGTTTCCCTGAACCGGCGCCCCTCCTTGTTGCGCGCCCTGCACATTTCCCTGCTGTTGATCATTCACCGGGCCGCCTCCGTTTGGCTGGCCACCACCCTGTTGGTAGTTTCCGCCTCCATTTCCACCGCCTCTGTAATTTCCGCGGCCATAGCCTCTGTTCCTTCCTCTGAAGCCGCCGCCGCGCTGATCCAGGTCATATCCATTTCTGCGACCGCTTGGCGCCAACCACCGAGCTCGCGCAGTCGTTGCCACTCGTTGAAGGCAAACAGGTTTGGGTTCTGTTCCGGTGGTGTGTTGGCGAATTTACATCCCTGAGTCTGGTGGTTGCCATACATACAGTACTGGCACATCTGCACATTGTTCGCCACCCATCCATCAATCATCTGGAACTTAAACTCAGTTCGTGACCCTTGGTTTTGCTGTTGATTCCTCTGAAGTTCCCTTGACCTTGACCTTGATTCTGGAAGTTCCCTGACCTCCATTCAATTTCCATTTCCGTATCCGTTTCCGCCAAAGTTTCCGTTACCCATTCCTTGTTGTGGTAACCCAGTGTTCAAAGGGGCCACATTCTGTGGTGCCGGTGGGGCCACATTCTGAGGTATCGGTCTCACTTGAGCCGCCGCCTGTATCGCAGCTACCATTGCGTACGTGAGTGGCTGTCCCGTCTGACTGTCGATAAAGGTCACTTCTTTGGTGACCTCTTGCACCGGAGCCTCCCTGCGGTATTCCACCGGCTGCTGGACTGGCGCAGCTGCCATTCTCTGTTGCGGCACGTTTTCAACTTGGCCTTGGCGGATGGTCACGTATTCCTGATTACGTTGACCTTTCGGCGCCTTATACTTTTCCTCTCCCGTTGCCCAATGTCGGAAGAAGTCCTTCACGTCCGTTGGCGTCTTGCACTTCTGTATACGCAATGCCTTGTAGAGTTCGTTATCCCCTCTACATCCTTCAATTAGGAAGCCGACTGCTTGCTTTTCGGTGATAATTCTCTTCGCTTTGAAGCGCATTATCGCCTGATAATACTGGTCAAGCGATTCCTTTCCGAGTTCAAATTTCCTCGCGTAGGCCTCACGTAAGCCTAAGACTTCTTCGTCTCTATCGCCATATTCATCTTTGAATTTCTCCATCCATTCAGTTATTGAAAATTCGGTTCCATCTTCTGCTGCGATGTCCTTTTCTCCTTCAAACCATGTTTTTGCAGGACCTTTCACTGCACTGGCTATCTCAATCATGACTTGGTCGTCTGTCAACTGATAAGTCCTTTGGGTTTCTTTCACCAATCGTGTCCACCCACTCACTGTGTCACGACTGCCGTCAAAGGTCATGAGTGGTGTTTTCCTGGCCATCGAGTTGAGTGCTTTTGTCAGTTGCACCGCTGTATTTTCTGCTCTCTGGTCATCGTCTTCTTCACTACTTCCATCATCGCTTTGATTTCGTTTCGCTTTTCCATAACGGGATTTCCTTGGACGCTCCTGCCGGCTGGGGGGTCTGTCCCGTCGTCCTTCATCAATGAACACATTTGTTTCCATGTGCGGGGGAAACTGTGAAGGGTCACCTCGACCCATATGCGGGTAACTTTCCGACGGCGGCTCTTTATCGTCGATGACCTTTTCGCCATTTCTTTCGTTTTTGACACTTCCTTTGCCAGTACCGGTTCGTAGTGGCATTTCGAAGTGGAAACTTTTGCCCGTGCCCGTTTCGTGCGCCTTGCTATAACTGGGCGGGGGCGACTCCACTGTTGAAGTCCTGACTCCATATTGCAGAAGCTGTTCATCTTTGTGCTTATTAGACATAACAAGCGCCTTATTCTCATCCTCAAGGCGACGGACTTTCAACTGGACTTCCTCTTTCTCCGTTTTCAAGTTCTGATTCTCCTCCTTGACCTTTAACATATGTTGGTGGAGTTGGAAAGTCTTCTCCTGAATGACCTTTTCAGTGTCATTCTCCACCTTTTTAATGTGTTCCGCCAACTGGGTCACATCCCTTTCCAGCTTCGTGTATTCCTCGACTGCTGCTTTCAGTTGGTTTTTCGTCTGGGTGACCTCATCTTCTCTTGTCATCACCGTTTGGGTCATATCAATCAGCTCCGTGTTGAGCTTGATAATCTCCTGCGTCTTCTGGTGGACTGATTGTTGCCACTCCTTATCTTTCAATTCAAGTACCGTGACCTTTTCATCCAGGAGGTGTGTCTCGTGTTCCCACCTCATGCCTTGCTCGGCAATTGTCTTAGCAGTCTTTTTCAACTCGGTATTCTCTTCGGTGACCTTTTGAACATCTTCTTTCAACGACTTGTTCTCTTCCATCACCTGCTTAATTTCGTTCTTCAACCGCACACCTTCAGTGGCTGTAAGCTCCCTCAGGTCCTTAGCCACTTTGACAGCGTCGTCGGCTCTCCTCTGATGATCCTGTGATTCTTTTTGAAGGGTTCCGATGTTCTCGTCCCGTAACTTCAATTCGTTTCTCAGCTTAAACACCTCATTGGTGTTTGTCAACAATCGTTGAGTAGCGTCGACGAGTTTGGCCGCGTATTCATCTCGCTTGGCTTCCGCTTCGGTGACCTTAAGTTTCAGTGAGTCACATTCATCCTTCAATTCGGCTAAGTGCCGTGACCTTTCGGCTGATTCTTCTGACATGCTCTCATTAAGGTCACTAACTGCAAGATGACCTTCCATTTCTCTGTCATCTGCCATTTTCAAATATTCATCGGCCAGTTCCTTCTGTCTTTCATATTTCACTTTCCAACCATCTGCGGCACTTTGAAGGTCACCCTGTTGCTGCTCCAGGTCGAAGAGGCGGGTTTCGAGTGTGGTCAGTCTTTCTCGGTATTCCTGTTTCCGCTTGTCCGCCTGTCGTTCGTTAACTTCCAATTCGTTTTCCAATTCGCTGACACGTCTCCTCAAAGTTGACGTGGGGCTGTTCGGTGATGGCGGTCGTACATTGATGACCTTTCCAGTTTGTGTCCGTTCAATGAGGTGCTCTGGTATGTCCTTGAATCGTGTCATCCCTTCAGCGCGGTCAGCTTCCTTCATCGCAGTTTGGAAGGACATGTTCATCGTCGCTTCATCATCCGTGAAGTATGATTCATTCGATTCATCCGAGACCATTGGAGTTGCCCAAAGGTCATCACCGACAGTCTTATCGTTTAGTGAAAGGTCATCCAGTCCCAGTTCCGCCAAGTCCTCTTCGGTGACCTTTGTGTTTCCATCTTCCACTTGAGCTTCCACTTGAGCCAGATTTACATTTTTATCCTGCTCATTCGTTCTGCTGGTGGTAGCATCCAACTGTGATGCTCCAACCGGTTCCGCTCCCCTTTCTGTGGGCTTTTCCTCCCCGGTGACCTTTATCTGGTTCATCGGATCACCTCCCGCCATGGATGCGGGGGTGTGCTTCTGGTCGTCACTGGAGCTTTCCTGATTGGCGACCGCCTCGAGCGCCTTCTGATAAGTGCTATCAGAGCCTCGTGAATCCTTTTTCTCGAATGCCTTGGGCGCTCGAGTATTCCGCTCATGTCCAACTGGACGTGAGTATGTGTGCAAGTCCTTTTTGTACGGGTTCGGTGCGCTTTGCTGTGAGCTGCGGGAGCTTTTGCTTCCCTGACTACTGTTGGATATCGGTTCTTCTTTGTCTTTGTCCATGTTGATCGGATAACTTGGACGCTCCTGTCAATTGTTCTCACACACACACGTTATTGTATGGTTTATTCAATTATCCTAGAGGTCACTCTGTACCTCCGAAATTTTTCTAAGTCCTTATTAAAGGTCACTTTTCGACTGAAAGATTTCGACCAAGTCCCGTTTAAAGGTCACTTTTTCGGTAAAAAGTTCGAGAGGTTTGCCCTAAAAGGTCACTTTCGGACAAAACTTCGAAACCGTTTTTACAGTTTGAAACACGTTTAGCAAATGAAATCCTACAGCTGCTGATATCGCTGTATCACTATTCACTTCAATTTCACTTCGATAAAGGTCACCTTTCGTCAGTTTCAGATCACAAAGGTCACTTAAATAAGTCAATTAGGACAATTCCAACTTTTTAGTAAAGGTCACTTTTCAGGTAAAAAGTCCTGTTCTGGTCTCAAAGGTCACTTTCCGACTCAGTTCAACTCAAAAGGTTGCTTTCTGACTCAATTTCTGTTAAAAGGTCGCTTTCCCGCTCAATTCAAGTTAAAGGTCACTTTTAAGCTCAATTCGATCAAAGGTCACTTTTCCTTTGTCTCAACTCAAAAGGTCACTTCTCAACTCAATTCAAGTCTAAAGGTCACTTTCCCGCTCAGTTATCTCATCTTAAATCAAATTTCCCATTACGACTCGAGTTCAACGGAAAATCCCCATTCGGGTTGTTTACTTCGTTCTGATTGGTCCGCTAGCTCAAAATATTCAGTTCAAATGTCGACCAATCACAGCTCAGATAACTGACCAATCCCGTTTCACCATTTAAATTTTATATTAGCCTGACGTCACGGTCAACGGCCAGACATGCGTGCCGCGTGCAAAACTCCGCCTACATCTACGCTCAGCTCAGAACGGACCAATAGGAATTGCCAAATTTATCAACTAGCCAATCTCGTAATTAATAACGGTTTTTCTACCTGTTCACCGTCTGTCCGTTCCACGTCCGTCCGTTCCACGGGGAAAGTGATCCAGATGATCCAATTCTTCTTCCAACTCCGTTCCCGCGTCGCCGCTGTTCCGTAGCGTGCCTCGCGCTATTAGTAGGCTACTGTGCCGGCTGTGCCGTAGCAACAGTAATGCTCTACTCCAGTTTGGAGGAGTCTGATCTGGCAAATCCGTGCGCCCCTTTTAGCGCTTCGCCGCTTGTGGCCCACGGCTTAGGATTCGCTGAATCCTTGCCGAGTATCGGTGACACCAGTGTAGGTCTTCGCTGAAGACTCTACACCGAGGAACACCGACGACTGAACTCTTGAACTCTTGCACAGCTGGGGCAACAGCACGGTTCTTCGCTGAAGATACCGTACCGAAAACCGAAGCTGGAAATCCGCGTCAGATGAGGCAGTTCACCGCTTGTGGTGTGCGCTTTGCTGTAGGATTGACCTGTGCTTTACTGGTCGGGTTCCACGTCAATAACAGGCCAACTTTGCCTGACACAAATCAAATCAGAGAACCGCTGTCGGCTCTGCTACCATCTAATGGTAGATCCAGAACAGATCCACAGACGGAGACAGAAACGGAATCTATCCCGTGGAAGTGAGCAATACGATCTGGATTGCGAACTATTGCGAAATCACAAAACGTCGCACCGTAAACTGCTGACTTTTTAATATTGAAAGTCTGCACAACAGAAAATCAACAAGTGATCGGCGCAGCTCGATCGTAAAACGTAGAGCCAATTCAACAGCGTGCAACGCTGTGCAGCACGTGCTATACCGCACCCACTATCAGAACGCAAGCCAATCACAAGAGACACAACACAGACACGTAATCCAAAGGCGTAGCGCCACAGGCGTAGCGCCACTGACGTGAACGCTAGTGATCCCGGTCTCACACAGGAAAACAGAATAACCGGACCCTAAATAAAGATATTTCGGTGTAAGTGTCCACGCACTAGGTAACCACATTCTTTAATCTTTGGAATGTAGCAGTCAACATACACCCTGGTCACGCCAAGTTGGCGGCATGACATTTTATTTTTCTACCGAATCGTGTTGCGCATGGATATCAAATATTTTTGCAGTTTCCAGTGCAGTTTTTTCTTGCAAATTTTCTAAGTATAAATTACTCGACTTTTGTTGCGATGCCGCGAGAAACTCCTAACAAAGCGAAGGCATCGACTGAACGAGTCAAGGCAGTGTTTAAACGAATTTAATTCAGCCAGAAAATCAGGAACAACTTTAGGGACTTGAGATTAAGAGTAGTTTATTGACAATTGAGAGGCTGCTTCGTGAGCAAAAACTGAAATTCGTCGGCTGGACCAAACACATAAAACGAAGCGCAAAAAGACAGCGACAAAAATTCTGCAGTAACCCGCTTCCTGATATTTAGTTTGTCCAAAACATCTGAGAGCACAAATGCACCAAAACCCGCTTGTGCCCCTTCCGCCCATCCGAGACTCAGTCTATCTTATTATACAACCTCAGCGACCAGCGAGGAGAAGTTTCATATTTCTTTTATTCTCGCAATGCCGCTATAAAAAGCATCATGCGGGTTTTGAAATGTCGTAAACCATCATAAATTATTACTGTACCGACATTAAGTACACAGGAAAGTTTTGGCGATTTACATTGTAACTGTTGTATCCAATAACCATGCCTTGTTACTGCACGGTACCTAATTGTTTACCATAAATTTTACGAACAAAAGGGGACGAATTCTCAAAAGTTCGCCACAATTCGCAGCATGCTGCCCCTGCACACCATCTGGTTGCAACTAAATGACAGCACATATACGAGTCTGCAGCCGGGACAAACGCCAACATGTTAACGGTTTAGAAATAACCAAGCTTGTCCGGCAAAAGTGGTTTTAAAATTTTCGACTGGCGAATATGTTAACGATTGAATTTTGGCACCTTTCTTCCAACCTTCCGTACATGCACCTTTCTTCCAACGACTGATTTACAGTGTCGTTGTAGAAAGAATTTAGGACTATGTTACTAGGTACGGTCATTTGACTGCTAAATCTTTATTCGGCAGCTGTATCATTTCCATTCCGTTGCTCCAATCTGCGCGACTGTGGAAATTGTGATGCCCATTTTGGGAACGCAGAGTTTGATAAGCCTTTGCTGTTTCTCTTTTGACAAACTTTTACTTCAATGCAACCTGTAACAGAGCACGTTGGAGGCAGACCATGAAGCGCAGTCTTTAACAGTGTGGACGATTAGCTTATCTACTGAAAACTGATGGTTAACAACACCGTACTTTTCATGCTGCTATAAACTAGCTAACAGTGAACACCATTCAGTACGTACGTACGCGCATTACAGACGGTATGTATACAAACAAAAAAACACACCGTATACCAGAAGGAAGAAAGCTGTTAAAACAACGCTTAGGTATTCGAGAATTCAAAAAGCGAGCTTGTTCACACGATGGGTTTACGGGGATCTGCGTCAGCGGCGGATGAGCTTTGTGCGGATCATAGAGAACAAACCCCGTAGATCGGATAAAAGATGGGTCGAGAATAAAGGATCCAAGAGCGCCTGTAGCGTCCATAACACATCCAGACATTCATCCAGATCATCAGCGGGTTTGAAATCGTGGATGGTGAATGACATCATCTGCAATACTTCGTAGGGCGTCCATGTAATCAGCAGACTGATTGTCAGTAGCGTTAAAGTGACAAAAGCCTGGGCACCCTGATTGCGCTCTCTGGCTCTGGCGCCGGCGCTAGTTATGGGAACACCGCTCCCGGGCTTTCGAATGCGGAAAACAAATACTCATATTGATACAAATGCATCAGCGTATTGTTCAGCTAACATTTTAACGGGATTTCAAGAAAAGCACGAAAGGCATAAACAATCTCTTTTGATAAAAAATAATTACCCGGGCTGACACTTAGATGGACGTTTATAACAAATTATACGGTTGTGTACAAAATTGTGTTTATCATTACATTTTGACCATGGTGAGATCTACGGCAGCTTGTGTGTGATATATTGTGTAATGTGTAAGTGCAATTGTAGTTACATACTTGCAGTACATCGTCATATACAACAATCAGTTTAGTACTGGTTTAGTATAGTCTTACCAGCGTGTCGTTGATAGTCGGTCGAAGATTCTTGACTGACGGAAACCCCGATGCAGTTCGTCCAGCCTGTTTGACCTTATGACGTTGCCTGTGCTTATATCCAATGAATCCGTATGATATTCCAACAAAAGCAATTGGCGCAAGATAGACACAAAGCTGCAAAAGCAACACCCAGGTTTTTTGGGCATCCACATTCAATTCGCACTCCAGCTTTGCCAACGAGTCGCGATAAAAAACCGAATCCATTACGAGTCCGGGCACGCTCCACATATGAACATACGCCAGCGCGCCAGCACATAGGAGGACAGCCACTTTCACTGTGTGGTGTTTCCGATAACTGTAGGGAAAGGTCACCGCCCATAATCGGTTGACGGTGATCAGAACGTGTGCATGCATTGCCCAGGCAGTGATGACATTATTACAGTAAAGGAAAAGGTCGCATGCTGCACTGCCAATAATCCACCGCCCACATGAGAGACCGAACAAAAGATCTAAAGGATTCTCTGCAACAGCCAAAGTTACGTTTGCCAGGAGAAGGTTGGCGATGTAAATGCTAAAAGAAGCGTTGACCCGTCCGCGGCGGAAAAGGCTGGTTAAACCGGCTATGTTCAGAATAACAATGAAAGTCATCAAGAACAATTCAGTCAGTACTAGCGGATCACGCCAGTTCCCGTATCGATTGCAAGCAGGATCGATGGTTTCATTTGAAATGGCAGAAACATCTAAATCAGTTGTGACATTTAAAAAGGTAGAGCTATTTATATCACCTGTTTCATGGAGCAAATTAGGTTCGCGTGATTTTGAATTCACTTCCATAGCTTTTTTCAAAACACTTGACTTAAATCACAGGAAAAGTGCTATCCAACCAGTCAACTAGTCGTACGTAAAAAGTTTCCTGTGAACTTTAACCGTTTACGCGCTTCTTTTTATGGTGTTACCCGATGTCAGGAGGCTCGTTCCAAGAAAACCTGGGGAAAACAAACGTACGCACGCACATGCTATCTCCAGTTTTGGCACACGCTCCTGAAGGAGCGCCAGGTGAGGCTGCTTGTATACTGTCTAACGGCGGAAATACGGTGTAATGCAATATGACCCTAATTGCGTTCCCTGAATGATTTCCCGCTTTTTGTCAAGAGGAGGCCATTATCCCAACCGCATATTGCAGTAATAGGGCACCGAACGTTAGAGAGGTACGTAGGTAATAAGATCTGCTTTGTGGACGCAAAACTTTGCGAAAGTGTAACAAAAAATTTGTTTCTTGAGAACAACAGTACATACGAGCATAACAACGGTTACAACGTCATAAAGCACTTACTACTTATACACTGTAGTATGGTCACGTTTAACGAGGAAGGCACGTCAGTAAAGGCGCTGTCCCGAAGGTCGATTAATTACCCATTGGAGAGTAAAATGTCTGCGGATAGCAAGCAGCAGTGGCACCGAGCTCTACTCAAGAATTTAAACCGCTTTTGCAACACGATATCGTGATTGCAGAGATTAAAATAGTAGAAATTTAATAATGCGCACTCCCCCCATACCCCGAGGGGGCTGCCCCTGAGACCTCGGGGGCGCTGGGTGGGGTAAGTTATGTTCTTATTAAGCAGCTACAGATAAAAGTATTTTCGCGCGAAGCGCGAAGCCGACGAGCTATTTTCATGAAAGACGCATGAAATACTATTTTGCTGGAGTTTTAATTTGTGCCGAGTTTCACTTTACTAACGGCAATAAAACAACGAGTACATATCTTGAACAACGTGTAATACACGTACATAAATTTGTAGTTCAATACCGACTCTCGTAAAAGGAACCGGGTATTGCTGTTAATGAAGGTTGTTTTAAATTGGATCTATGCCGAAGGTACAGAAAACCTGACCCATGTTCTAAATTTCAAGTAGGACCGTCGCGAATTATTACTGGTGAGAGGGATTTTTAGGGAATATTTAGTGCGCGATTACCCCTGTATCTAAGTGTGAGGTTTAATAAAACAAATTTCGCGCGAAGCCGACGGCAGATGTTGCCCTAAAAAATTAAGAAATTCCATTAAAAATACAAATTTTTTAATTCAAATTTTATATTCGACAGACCCCTCTAACGTTTTCTCAACGGTTTTCAAATTTTTTAACAAAATGATTATTGTAACGCGCTAATGGAAACACCTACTATGAAACTTAATTTTCCGCAGAACGCGTATAAAGTTTATCTTGTTTAGTTGCGCGATGTCCGGTAAAGGAAATTTCCCGCTGGAACGCTGAATTATGCGCATGATGCGGTCAGATGACAGACGGGTTTGAGACAGCGGGCACCGGCGCCTACAGTAATCGACTAACATTCCCGCTCTGACTTCCGTCGAAAGTTGAAACCAGTTATGTAGCAGCGGTAGCGTACGGGTGTGGACCAGAAGATTAATAGTCTAGTGCCATTAGCCAACTGTTGTAATCGATATACGAGTCAAATCACTCAAATGACAAATGTAGCGCAACTAGCCATTTTTTGCTGCGTATTGCACATTAGTGACTGGTGACGACAGTGTTCTGTGGGAGTGTACTGCCATTTGCCCAAGCCGCAAAACAGTTTTACAGTACGAGCACAACAATCA